ACTTAATACTTATGGTGCAGGAATTTTTTACTAATAAATGGCTTCTCAGAAGAATGAACCATACTTTGATTTGCCTAACTCCAAAGAAAGTAGACTGTACCAAAGTTCAGGATTTCTGACCAATCAGTCTTTGCAATGTCACGTACAAAGTTATAGAAGAAGTCATTGCAAACAGTTTGTGTCCTATCCTAGGCAAATGCATTCCCCAAACCAGATGGCTTTTGTTCCTAATCGTCAAATGGAAGAAAACTCCATTATCACTCAAGAACTTTTTCACTATTTAAAGCACAAAAATAAAGGTCCGGGTTATATAGGCCTAAAATTAGATATGTCGAAGGCCTATGATAGGCTAGAATGGAGTTATCTGTTAAAAATTTTGTCCCTCTTCGGATTCTCCAAAGACTTTTGTCACTTGATCAAGGAATGTATCTCCTCAGTCTCCTATTTCATCCACATCAATGGTACTTCTGAAGGTCACTTCTATCCTTCTAGGGGTTTAAGACAAGGGGACCCTCTTTCTCCCTACCTTTTTCATTTTAGCTATGGAGGGCCTCTCTAGACTCCTATACAAAGCTGAAGAAGAAAACAAAATTCAAGGTCTATCCCCTGCCTCTTTGTCTCTAAAGATTTCACACTATCTTTTTGCTAATGACATTATGCTCTTCATTAGAGCCCATAGAAATGAAATTGATAATCTCAACCAAATCCTAAACATTTTCCAAAATATCTCTAGACAGTTAATAAATTATGAGAAATCTGGTATTTATTGTAGCAAAAACATTCACCCCCGGCTTCAAAGATTGATCAGATGACAACTTAAAATGAAGCCTTTATCAGAAAATACCGGACATCTTGGACTTCCTCTTTTTTGGTCCAAGAACAAACATGCTCAATTAACTTTCATTCTAGAAAATATTGGAGCAAAGTTAAATAGACAGAGAGCCTCAACAAAAAGCCCGGCCAGAAAGCAAGTCTTTATCCAATCAGTCCTCTAGGCAACCCCTATCCATGCCATGTCACTTATCAAACTACCTAAGAAGTCCATAGATCATATTGAAAAAACTTTTCATCATTTCTGGTGGGGTTCCAATAACCAATCTTCCCATCCTTATCGTTGGTGTGCTTGGCATAAACTAACTCTCCCAAAAAATGCAGGAGGATTAGGTTTTAAAAACTTGACCTTATTTAACCGAAGTTTGTTAAAGAAAGTAGTTTGGAAATACATTAATGAACAACATAAATTCTGGGCTCAAATCTAGAAGTCAAAATACCTTAGGAATAAAAGCATGTTTCCTTTATCCACCCCTACAAAAGTCTCCATCTACTGGAAATTCATCAATCGAGAAATATGGGAGTTAGCCTCTGAATGTGGTGCCCTAGTTAATACTATTCAGATTTCCCTCTCTCCCATCGACCCTGGATTCAAATTAACCAGTCCTTCTGGATCTCTCTCCCCTTGACCCCGAATATCAGACACATGAATATTTCCCACCTTCTCCATCAAGGCCAATGGAACTCTGCCCTCATTAACTCCCTGTTTTCCTCCAGAGAAGTCGATGCATTCAGGCAATCCCCATTTATACAGACTCAAACATAGTCCCCTGGATTTGGTTCCCTTACTCATCAGGTAAATTTACATCTAAAAGAGATTATCGGATCAAAATATCTGTGCTTCAATCCAATCATTCTCAAGAGCTCAAGTTCTGTCTTAAATCACATCTGGAAATTAGATACTGCTTCAAGATTCAAACTGTTCTTATGTGAATCTCACCAAGAATCACTTACACACATTTTTCTGAACTGCTCTTGTACCTAAGTAGTACTTTTCGGTAATCCTTAGAATATCAATTTCATAAATAGGTTTCAAGATTCTTGGATAACAAGCATTCATAATCTTTTTCAACAGGTTCAGGACAATCATTTAGCAAAAAAGATCTTAACCTGGGTGACAATCACTTTGTACTTTATTTGGTTTGCTAGAAACGAAAAGTGTTCCAGAGGAAAACTAATTCAACGTCCAATTCTCTTACAGCATATAAACCAAATTTACAATTGCCCCTCATCCCCCAAAGCACCAGCTTCTGTTATTAATCCTGCATCAAATCTCAATAAACACACTCTCACAATGGCACATGATATAGAGCTTATTGCAGGAAAATTAGAAAACTCCTTATACAGCTTTGGATGTATAGTTTTATCGCCAAACTTAACCTGCCTGAAAGTAATAGGTGGCCGAACAAGTGAAACCTTTCTATATTACAAGCTGAAACGTTTGTCATTATGCAGGTACTGGAAAACCTTTCTTCTTAGAGCTGTCAAAAAGTTTATGTTGTATTAGATGCAAAACAAGTGATGGATGCCCTTCAATGACAATCAGAAATTCCCTGGACCTACCTCTGGCTTCTGAATAGGATCAGAGAGCTTTTGATTCAAAGGACTTTTGTAAAATTTTGTTTTGTATCACGCAACTTTAATGGTTGTGCCCATAAAATATCCCATATAGCAAAAACTCATGAACCGGACTTTTTTTATTTTCCCTCTTGTATTAACAGATTTTTCTAAAGCCTGAGTCCGAGCCCAACTCTTATAAAAAGCCCAAAGCTCGAGCCTGAGCCCGAATCCGAAATTTAGCTCATACTGTTACTAGTGCTGAAATGGTTGAATATAGAGAGAGAAAGAAAAATTATAAAAAATATATATATTAAATTATAAATATATATTTCAATAAATATTATATTATTTATATATTTTATATAATATAAAAAATATATATTATATATTTTATAAAATATATAATGCTGAGTCGGGCCAGACCAAGCTCAGGCCGGACTTTTCTAATAAATCCCAAGTCCGATCCGAAACACAATCAGACTTACTGTATTAGACCGGAGATCAGACCCGCGGGCCTAATTATATGACCAAACCTGGCCAGGGTGCGGGTCAGGCCGGGCTAGCCATCGGGCTACCCGGCCCATGAACAGGTCTTATTTCTGAATACGTGAATGTCCACGCCTTTTAGAGCACGTGCTATATATAAATCATGTGAGACCATATCATAATTCATAAGGCTTTAGTTTAGTTTTAGTTATTCGTCCAAATCAATACAGAAAAACCCACTTCGTCGAGATAGTTGTTTTATAATTAACTGGGACCCTGTCCAATTAAACACCGGTACACGTGTTATCTCATCCATTCATCTAGAGTTTTTGTGGTCCACATGTCAAATAAGCTTCACTTCACAGTTCACACCCATCTGGGACAAGTAACCTAACAAAACATTGCTTGGTATTGGTTAGAATCGTCTGATTTGGAACTTGATGTTGACACATCATGGAGGCAATGCCATGCCTCATACGCAAGTTCTGTGGTGTATTTGATATTGACAAGTTTTGCATGTTGGCACATGGAGCACGGTTGGATCTCCTAAGCCAATGAGTTATGGGCCAGATCCAGATGGCTGTTTTCACATGCTCATAGTCCCTTGTACCAGAGTTACGCTTCGCAATACGATATCATCCTCCATCTTACATCTTACCCGTGAATCCGATCCGTCCGAGTCCGACCAAAATCTTCCAAAGTCAAAGTTTTGTGATTCCATTATCTCATCCATATCAGATTCTTCGTATTTTTTTTCTTCTCCTTTTCTACAAGTGACGAGTGACGACGACGTATCACGTATGGGATGGCTGGAATCAGTCGCCCATCATCTGGATTACACGTGTAGAATAAACAAAGCGAGGAGCTACAATTTGATAATAGGCCTTAGATGGCTAGATCGGCAAGCTCCTCCCCCACCCCATCACCACATGCGGACGCGTGTGGGGGAATCTTCTTGTCACGTGTGACGTGTCAGATGTGCTTTAATTAATTAAAAGAAAGAATCCCTTGATTAATCGAAAAACCATCCTGGAAATACACGCGCCGAGACGCGGCGCTACAGTACCGAGTAGCGGTGTTCAAGGGATGGTCACCTCATCGGCCAACAAATTCCACTTTTAGAGGCGGTGCGGCAGCAGCCAGCAGCCGCCCACCATAAACCCTACCCCCCTTTTTGGCGGTTGCTTTCGTTGCTCGCTCCCCAACCCCATCTGCGTGGCAGATAAGGAGGTGGCCATGTGGACCCCACTACCACCTCAACCCAACACGTCATCCCTTTATCAGAACTCCGTACGAAGCCACGTGCTATGATACCTCGTGTCGCCTCTCCCTAATTACCATTTTATCCCTGCATGGCATGCATCCATGCCATACAATGATACGGTATCCCATGCCATGCCATGCCATGCTATGCATGCATGCATGAACCAAGAATGGTCCACCACATGACACCACCCACCACAAAAGTAGAAGGGAGAGAAGAAAAAACAAAACAGAAGCGAGATCTTCTCCAAAGATTCCGACGACGAAAAGCGGGGTCCACCAAAAGCGGCCGCCGCGCCTCCACTTCCAGATCTCGCGTCAATGTGGACCCCACCATGTCTCCCCTTCAACTCCCAGTTTCCCCCAACGTAACTTAGGCCCCGAGAAAAGAGAATGCAAAATCAAAACACTGAAGACTCGGGACAGCGGCAGCTGCCACAGCGGAAGACGTACTCGTGCCGCCCTGCCAAACCTCAAAGCCTTATACGTCGTCAACACGGAATTAGTGTTATCGGACCCCACCCCAAAAGACGCGCTCGTGATCCAGTCGCGTGGGTATGCGGTTTCGCCGTTGCTGCCGCTTTGTAGTAAAAAATTATTTACAAAAATATTTTTATTTTTTCTACTAAATAAAAAACTCTTAACAGATAGTGCGGTGCCCGTACCACGTCGACGCGTCACCATATCCAGAGCCAGAGGTTTCCAATATTGTAAACAAGGAAAAATAACAATTCCGTCGATAATACCGGCGGCCGGACATACAACCGGAGTTCGCATTCCATAATTGTCAAAGCTCAAATTAACTGGTTTCTGAGTATATGCTTGTGTTTTCAGTCATTAGAACTTTGTTTACACAGAAAGAACAAAAATAATCAGTCATTTTTTCAACGAAATTCTAATGGAGGATGCATAGTTACACGGTAGTAGTCTCAGTTTCAGCGGTCGACAACAACATTTGAGTAACTCTTGAGATCTCAGTTGCGAAAACAAGAGAGAAGGAAAAAAAAAAGTTCCCGTCACGTATTTACATTGAATATTGGCATCTAGTGCGATGAACAGCTCTCAACATTTCCTCAACAGGCTGCGCTCTTCGGCTATCTCCCCGTCTCTATGTTTTTTTTGTTGTTTAAATTTTTTCTTGAAAAAAGATTAAAATTGCAAGATAATGAAAATAAAAAAGAGAATTTTGAAAAACAGAAGGCCCCGATCTAACGCCGTCGGCTACGACCTAACGATCTCAAAAATCCGGCAAGATCAGGCAACTTCAGGTGGAGGGAGGTTGAGATCAAGATCAAGGACTCTCCTCCGTGGGCTCTGTTCGTCGTGATGGTGGAAATCAACGACGGATGATGAGTCGGAGTCACTCTGGACCCCACCACCAGCAAAAGCGGCTTGGTAATCAGCAGCCGCGGGGTCGAACCTCAGACGGTGGTGGGTCATATTCTCCGACCGAACAATCGCGTCAAAAAAGAAAAGCGGATGCGCGGTCGGTAAAACCCCGGCAACAGCAGACGGCGCGTGGTGTTGAAACGGGAATCTGACCGCGAAGCCAGCAGCAGCACCTCCGACAGCACCAGCGCCGGCGCCGCGGTGCAAGAGGTCTCGATCCAACGTCGAGGGAGTAGTGATCGGTGCCGGAGAGAACCCCTCCCGGCTTGAGGACTCGACAGTGCTGCTTTGGCTGGGGCTCTGGTTATTATTACTCTCAGAAGGCAAAGGAAAGTTAGTTTTAGCCTTAGATCCACGGAATTCTCTAGCAGCGGCGTCGTAAGCCCTTGCGGCCTCCTCGGCCGTATCAAACGTTCCTAACCAGACACGGCTCTTCTTCCCGGGGTCTCTGATCTCGGCAGCGTACCGACCCCAGGGCCTCTTCCTCACACCCCTGAAATGTACCTCCTTGCCGTTGCCGTTGCCGTTACCAGCACTGTTCCCTCCTTTGACGCCGTTAGTTTTATCTCTGGGTGCCATATCTACGAATGCGAGGCGGGGCCACCTCGAGAAAATTTTCCGGTTTGAGCAGCAGAGAAAGAACAGAGAGAAGAGAAGAGATGAAACGTAACGAAATGAGACGAGACAATGTAGGGCAGGATAGATAAAGGAGAGGGCAGCGATGGGGGCTTTATAGGGGAGGAGGGAGAGATCGGCGAGGAAAATTGAAAATATTCGGCGCAGTCAACGAAAGGTTTGACTGTCCTTGGCCGCCGCCCCCGCCCCGAGCGTGGTGGCATATTATTATCGTTGTCTGGGTTACGTGGCATCCGAGTTGTCCAGACACGCGTCAACCGGAAGACCGGGCGGCGTTGCTTAACAGCCGTTATGACGGTTAATGGTGTGTTCGGGGGGTTGTAGAGAGCTGAGAGGGGGAGAGATTTGGACGGAATCAATGACGGCCGGTTCTAAACAGTTTGTCGGCATCTCTCCGCTTTCCCGCCGTGTGACTTGGATCACTACGATCCTTGCCTTACTACTTCACCCTCAGCACCCCCCCCCCACCCCCATTGAACCGCTCCCTTGGACCGACAGTTAGTGAATTTAACCACTGTGATGATGACACGCGTCACAGTGCCTTCCGCGTGACGGAGGCAAATAGGAAACACGACGAACCTCAAGACTCTCTCTCTCTCTTTGTGTAAATCAACAGGCGTCCTTTCTGACAGCCGTGTTTTAATTATTTTAGTGTCCTCCCTGAAATTACGATATTGTCCTTACGCGAGATGAGATTCGTTTGTGTATTCGGAGGATTTTGTCTGCATCTTTACACGTTACTATGATAATTAATTATCGAATAAAATAGTCTGGACGCTGGACTCTGGGTCTGTGTGTGGGTGGGGGTGTGTGGTCCATGGACGATGTAAGAGGCCAGAGGAGGAGGGGAGGCGGGAGGCCTATGACTCTGTCTGATGCATCCAGATTTCGCGCAGAAAAAGCAGCACAGTAAGCGGGAAATAATTGGAGTTGCAATGGAGGAAGGTGCCAAGTAGAAACCGGACAGAAAGCTGTGGCCTGTGGGACCTACGTTGATAAAAATGAGAGAGCTTTTATGCGGGACCCACGGTTTCAAAGAGGAAAAGGCAGGAAGCCCCTCCCTCCCCCTGGGCCCACGTAGAGCAGCGGAAATGAGGTGGAGGTGGACCGTTACTAGCCCATTGTTCACGCCTTGTTTGTAGTAGATGTAGATCCGGAGTCCTTGAATTGTACCTTTAGGAACCGTTTGGTCTGGACATCAGGTACAATTATTGTATTCATATATATATATATATATATATATATATATATATATTTTTTTTTTGGTTTTCCATGGCTTTCAGTGAATGGCCGTTTGAGGTTTGATAAATGCAGCGGCAGCGGCAGCGGCACCACCCACCCACCCACTGGAGTCCAAACTGCAGTGGTTAAGAGTAGAAAACAAGCAAAAAGGACATAGAGAGAGGGTCCAGTAAGGAGAAAAGAAAATGGATATTATTAAGAAGGTTCAGAAGAGTTTATATTAGGCACGATGTAAGGACACGTGGGTGGAGATTGAGATGTGGGGACCAAATCATTTAATGAGTCCAACATCGGGAGACGTAGACCGCGAGGCTGTGATCTGTGAATACGTTCGCTGTTTACAGCCATTAGTCATTTATTCTGGTTCTGGCCCATTTCATTTGGGCGGTGCTATGAAAAATCGGGTTCCCAAACGCCAAACCGGGACACAGATTATCTTTATTACCCAGGCCGAGTTGTTCGGTGAAGAATGTCTCCAAGTTGGATCCCATCCCATTAATTCAGGGACGGGGTTCTTGAAATTGGGCTGGGCCCCGGAAGTGGGTTTGGAAAATTTTTGTTTTCAAAACCCCAACTCCGAACAGCCTTACAACTAGACCTGTTTATATGGGTTGGGTAGTCCGACGGGTCGGCCCAGTATACTGTTTCTTGTCAGGCGTGAATATTATTTTAGGCCCATGGCCCATGGGTTTGGGCTCAGGTCCAAAACACTAAACCAGACTTTTTTTAGCTGGGCTTGGGCTTTTTCTAAAATGTCTGGTCCAAGCCCAAGTCTAAATTCAATGGTATATTTTATATAATAATATATATTTTTTGTTCCTCTTCTTTTTCTTCTCAATCATAGTGAGATCTTTCAATATTTTTGGGTTTTAAGGTCATTTAATATAAATAAATCAGTTTTTTATTATGCAAAAAAACATAAAAAAAAAGAAAATATCTTTTTCCCAATTTATAAGTTAGACTTCGGACTTTATAGTAGGGCTGGGCTCAAGCTCAAGATTTAAGGCTGATGGTCAAACCAGGCTAGGTCTCGATCCTAAATGTATTTTGTTAATAAAAAGACGAAACCCAACTTAGCCCATGAACATGTCTACTTACAACATGGGTTGATTTGATACTTGATTGGGCTTAGGCTCATGGGTTGATTTGAGGGACATCTCTGCTACCATGACAGTCATGAGTCATAACCCAACCCTACAACATGGTGATGCCCATTAACCAAACAAAAGCCTTACATAGGCGTTTCCCTCTCACAAAAAAAAGAAAAGAAAATACAACCAATACCTTGCCCTATCAACCAGACAAAAGCCTAGGGTCATGGATTGAACTGAATGACATTGCTATTCTAGGTTTAAAGGAAAACATAAGGGAAAGGCAGGAAAACCAAATTATCCAGGAGGTTGCAAACTGGTAAATGGCCGAAGCTAAAGTTGAGTTGTTTACTATAGCTTTAAATATTTGATTATATAATTATTTTATGTAGTAAAAGACAAATCAATAAGCAAATCACTTCAGTCGTTTTAGCTGCTATCAAATAGATCGCTGCATACTAAATACCTCTTAAATGTCCGTGTTTAGTCATTGATATATTCTCAGTTTTAGAAAGCATGTATAACAGTCATTTTTTCCAAAAAATATTTTCTCAGATCATGTCTTGAAAATCCGGAAACGTGTGATACGAGAAAACATCTTTTTGGGTATTTTTCCGTTTTTTTACTGTTTCTAACAACAATATGCTGACATGGCATTGGGAAATGCCTATGCGGGGGCAACAACAATGGTACCAAATAGAAAACCCGAAAATAAAAAAGAAAATAAAATGTTTTCTAAGAAAACAGCATGATGCAACACCGCTTTTTGAGAAAGACACCTCTCAAGAAATGGCATTGATTCCAAACACTATCAAAGTTTATTATGTAGGGTGATTTGGCCCGACCTCGTAGCACGGGGACACGTGTATATGACCTGGCATAAGCGACAAGTCAGCGTGGCAGCCTGGCCGCAACTCGGCGTAACAAGCTCATCAAGGCCCAACCAAGCGACTCGATGGGTGTGACGACCCACCGAGAAGCAAGGCCCAGTTCGCCCCAAGCCTGAAGGCAGAGCTCCCCCGTGCAAGGGGACCCGAGCTCCTCCTAAGGGGCCCCGAGCTCTCCCTTCCTAAGAAGGGAACACCCCTGCTTTTGGCTAAGTGTCCCGAGGGAGAAACACCTCGGGGCAGCACCGCCGAGACTCCTGTTCGAACTTGCTTAAGGCTCGCCCCCAATGCGGGCACCTCGGTGCAAGGCAAACCTACCCCAGGTGGTTCGGTGTACGGTAGCTCAGCAGACTACAGGGAGATCTGCCTGACATCCATGCCTGCCTAACATCCGTACCGACCGAATCCGGTGGCAGTGCTCGGATCCCTTACCAGGCGGCGTTCTGCCCGCCGTCTCTGAAGAGCATGGCATGCCTGTCGGGTTCGTACCTTGCAGCAGTAGCCTGCACCTGCCACCCCTACCCTGGCAGTAATAGCTAGGGCAGTGGCGGTTATGCCTGATGTGGCCGAGCTCCGGTATAAAAGGACCCCAACCCTCACGAAGCAAAGGTATTGAAGCTAGCACTTTCAGCACTCTTACTCTCTGTTTTCCTCCAAGATTTCTCTAGAGTTCTAACTTAGCCATCGGAGTGTTCCCACCAGGAGAGCTCCCTGGGAACCCTTCACCTTCTTCTTCCTCTCAGGTATCGCCCATCACAGCCAGAAGCCAAGTCACAGCCAGTTAGGAGTGCTCAGATCGTGCAGCATCATTTGGCGCCGTCTGTGGGAAACGCTTCAAAAGGTCTTCCTGTAACTTCTGTTCAACTATCTTCAAAGAACTCATCAGTATCATCAACACCTATGGCTTCCTCCAGCAACACCGGACGCCGGAACACCTCTGAGGAACAACTCCAGTTACCCACTGTCTGCATCGGCCAGTTCACCGTCCCTCTCTCTGTGGACGGGGTTCCTAGTCTGACTGTGCCCCAGATGGTGGCACCCGTGACTGTTCCACTGCCCTCTATAGTCGGAACAACCTTCGCTGAACCCACCATCCTCCCTCCAATGGCCAACCAAGGTCAGCTTGAGGATCTGATGCAGTGCATGCGAGCCATGCAGGCTCAGATGCAACAATTCCAGCAACTCCAGTCCCACTAGCAGCAAGTGTTGCACCAAATGTCCCAATACCAGTATCAACAACAGTTTCCTTCACTCCCTCCTCGGCATCCAGCTGTGCAGCCAACCAAGCCTCACCGCCTAAGTGAACTTCATTCCCACCGAGGAGAGACCTCGGTGTCATCCCATGGAAGGAAGGAAAGACCCCCTACCCCCACCTCGCGGCCTGTAGTTAGGTCGGGGGCCTCCCGGCCGGTAAGGCCAGTATCACCTCAGCGCTCACAGTTCGAATCCTCGCTTGCCAAAAATTGGTTCGAAGTGCTGGCCGACGACCTGGAACCAGGTCCCTCTGTTCGCAGCTACCGAAAGTCATCCAAGCATTTCGCTGGGCCCATCGAGCTCAGTAATACTGAGGCCAACAACACCAATGCTGAGCCGGCTAAGAAGCAGCGAAGGCATCGCCGGGCTCACCGAGCTGTCACCCGCGACCTGCCCGAGCTCAGAGGCAAGGTAGAGGTGAGTTCGGGCGAGGTAAAAGCTACACCGCTCCTTTCAGTTCCCTCCCCCCTGTCACCAAAGCTCCTTGTTGTCCCCATGCCAAGGGACTTCAAGCTCCCCCCGTTGAACAAGTATGATGGGTCCTTTGATCCCAACGACCATGTGGACGCCTTTCAGTCCCAAATGCATCTGGCTAGGGTGAGCGAGTCTTGCATGTGCGTGGCCTTCTCCACCACTCCTCAGCATACCCGGCTTGGACCCTGCAATTCGGCTCACTGTGGTCAAACGGGGCATCACCCACAAGAAGTTTAAATGGCACGTGGTTGTCAACCAACCCAAGACCGTGACCGAGTTCCTCAAGCTCGCAGATCGATTCATAGGAACAGAGGAGGAGATCAACCAGAAAGGCGAGCACACCCTCGAAAAAAGAAAAAGGGAACCGGAACCCCCGGCTCCAAGTGACAAGAAGAAGAAGAAGGACCAAGCTCGGGGGGAAAAGCCAGTCCAACCTTTCCGAGCTCCGGCAGTAGAAAGGGAGTTTACGCCCCTCAACACAAAACGGGTCGAATCTTCATGGCGATCAAGAACGCCCCATATGTAAAGTGGTCACCTCGGCTCAAGGCCGATCATAATGTTAGGAATAAAAACTTGTATTGTAGTTTTCATAGAGATCACGGTCATAGTACCAAAAATTGTAAGAACCTCCGCGATGAGATAGAAGAACTCATCCGTCATGGGTATCTGAGAAATTTTGTACAGCATAATAATAATAATAAAGTAGGTCGACACGGAGAGCAGAATAAAGAGGCTCCTGAGTCCAGCAGACAGGCAAAGCAGCCGCAGAGGCAGCCTCCCGACGAGAGACCAGTCTTGGGGACCATCCATGTAATCGTCGGAGGATCGATTGTCGCGGGCTGCACTTCGGCAGTAGCTCGGTCATCAGCTCGCGAGGCCGCTAGAGAAGAACTAAACCCCCCAAAGCGGCCAAGGATGGAGGAACCGATCTTCTTCACTGAAGACAATGCGCAAGGGGTCCATTATCCCCACGATAACGTGCTCGTCATAAAGATTTTGAGTTTGCAGCATCCAAGAACGAAGCAGAGTACGAGGCGTTGCTATTCGGGCTGGATCTGGCAAAGGAAGTGAAAGCCAAGCACGTCGTCGTCTGCAGCGATTCCCAGCTCGTGGTAAATCAGGTTATGGGTGAATACAAAGCCCGCGAGCCAACCATGGTAGCATACTTAGCCAAAGTAAGAGGGGCTCTGCTCAACTTCCGGTCATACTTCATCCAGCAAATCCCGAGATCAGAGAATGCCGAGGCCGATGCCCTATCCCGTTTGTCCAGCACTGGCGATAACACCATGAGAATCGTGTATATAGAGAACTTGCCTCGGCCTAGCATTCTCAGGGGGGCAGAGAAGGTCGCTCCCGTCGTTCAAGTAGAGCCGAGCTGGATTGATCCGCTCATGAGCTTCCTGCTACACGGGACCCTCCCCGCAGATCGTAATGCCGCCAGGAGGGTAGAGCGTCAGGCAGCCAAATACGTCATGATAGACGGACGGTTATACCGAATATCCTACACGCTCCCCTACCTGCGCTGCTTGCGACCCTCTGAAGCCGAGCTCATCCTCCACGATACTCATGAGGGCCTGTGCGGTGGACACTTGGGGGGCAGGGCCCTCGCTGAGAAAGCACTACGACAGGGGTATTACTGGCCAACGATGAAGGTAGATGCGACCGAGCTCGTCAAAAAATGCGACAAGTGTTAGAAGCACGCCAACATCCACCACCAGCCTGCTGCCGACCTAAAATACCTCACTAGCCCATGGCCATTTGCACAATGGGGGATTGACCTACTCGGGCCATTCCCACCAGCAATAGGACAAAGGAGGTTCCTAGTGGTGGCAATTGACTATTTCACAAAGTGGGTCGAAGTTGAACCTCTCGCAACAATCATGACCCAGAATGTGCAGAACTTCTTTTGGAAGAACATAGTGTGTCATTTCGGATTACCTCGGGTACTGATCTTCGACAATGGTAAGTAGTTCGAAGACATCAAATTCCAAAACCGGTGCCGAGACATGGGAATTTAGCAGAACTTCACCTCAATGACGCACCCTCAGGCAAATGGTCAAACAGAAGTCACGAACAGGGCAATCCTTCGAGGACTAAAAGTGCGCCTGAACCGAGCTAAGGGACTGTGGACGGACGAGCTGTCCAGTGTGTTATGGGCCTACCGTACCACGGAAAAGACTGCCACAGGAGAAACCCCCTTTAACCTCACATACGGCACCGAAGCAGTCATTCCAACTGAGATTGAAGTTCCTTCGCTGAGATTAGAAGCATATGATGATAGGGAAAATGAAGATGAGCTACATACCAACTTCGACCTGCTTGACGAAGTACGGGACCTCGCATACATCAGGACCGCGACCTACCAGCAAAGGGTAGCTCGGTACTATAACACCAGGGTCAAAAAGTGGACTCTCCACGTGGGCGACCTGGTTCTCCGTAAGGTTATGGTGCCTAAGCCCGGCGTTGGCAAGCTCGGTCCAAACTGGGAAGGACCCTACCAAGTAAAGCGAGTACTCGGGGAAGGAACATACGAGCTCGAAACTCTGGAAGGGAAACAAGTACCTCGGGCATGGAATATTGTCAACCTAAGGCAATATTACCTATAAATAACCGAGTAGACTATGAGTCATTCTCAGGGCTTAAGGGCCAAAATGCCGAGCTAACAAAGGCCTCGACGCAATAAAATCCAGTCGCTTCTGTGCCATGGGCGAACTCCAAGAGCGGACCTCGAGTCTCTCAGGGCTCAAGGGCCAAAATGCCGAGCTAACAGACTCCGGCATAGTAACCTAGCCACCTCTATGATGTGGATGAATTCTAAGGGGTTAAAACACCGAGCTCACCAAAGAGCTCGACACCACAATACACAATGTGTCGAGGGTACAAGCAGACAGTTCGGGCACATGCCTTACTGTCAGTCACCTCGGTGTACGCCAGAAGACAGTTCGGGCACATGCTTTACTATGCCTTACTGTCAGTCACCTCGGTGCACGCCAGAAAATAGTTCGGGCACATGCCTTACTATGCCCTACTGTGTCAATCACTTCGCACACTCAACCATGATAGCTCAGATAAAACAACACTTGGAAAAAAGATCAATTTCATTAACAAGTAAGTTTTGTACAACGAGCTTCACAAAAAAAAAGAACTACAAAGACCGAGCTCGTAGTCTCGGAATATGAAGGCAATCACTTCGGGGGATCTTCATCTCTGCGCGAGACCTCTTTAGGAGCTTCAGACTGGTCAGGGGCGTCTGCTTCCTCGTCACCATACTCTTCTGAGTCCCTATCATCTGTGGCTTGCCGAGCTATCTCATCCGTGATCCGCGAGGTGGTGATGGCGCTTGTGTCAAGCTCGGGGTACATGTGCCTTATCAGCCACCTACTGAGCTTGAACCCCTTGCAGTAGGCCTCCCCCAGAACGGCATCAAATTTATCAGATTGGATGTACTCTACGATTGCCTTGGCCTTTGTCTCCTCTATCGCTTGAGTGAAGATCTCGGTCTTCTCTTCGATGTCCGCCTTGAGGAACTCCACCTCGTGAAGGCGGGTGTGACGACCCGCCGAGAAGCAAGGCCCAGTTCGCCCCAAGCCTGAAGGCGGAGCTCCCCCGTGCAAGGGGACCTGAGCTCCCCTTGCGACCCGAACTCCTCCTAAGGGGCCCCGAGCTCTCCCTTCCTAAGAAGGGAACACCCCGGCTTTTGGCTAAGTGTCCCGAGGGAGAAACACCTCAGGGCAGGACCGTTGAGACTCCTGTTCGAACTTGCTTAAGGCTCGCCCCCAGTGCGGGCACCTCGGTGTACCTCGGCACCTCGGTGCAAGGCAAACCTGCCCCAGGTGGTTCGGTGTACGATAGCTCGGCAGACTACAGGGAGATCTGCCTGACATCCGTGCCTGCCTGACATCCGTACCTATCGGATCCGGCGGCAGTGCTCGGATCCCTTACCAGGCGGCGTTCTGCCCGCCGTCTCTGAAGAGCATGGCATGCCTGTCGGGTCCGTACCTTGCAGCAGCAGCCTGCACCTACCACCCCTGCCCTGGCAGTAACGGCTAGGGCAGTGGCGGTTATGCCTGATGTGACCGAGCTCCGGTATAAAAGGACCCCGACCCTCACGAAGCAAAGGTATTGAACCTAGCACTTTCAGCACTCTTACTCTCTGTTTTTCCTCTGAGATTTTTCCAGAATTCTAACTTAGCCATCGGAGTGTTCCCACTAGGAGAGCTCCTCGGGAACCCTTCACCTTCCTGTTCCTCTCAGGTGTCGTCCATCACAACCAGAAGCCAAGTCACAACCAGCTAGGAATGCCCAGATCATGCAACATCAGTTTACATGATGATAATGATATATAATAGTTAACATGGAAATTCTACCTTGTTAATTTTGCTTTATTATTACAACATATATAGGAAGCTTCTATCTAATAAATATATCAGATGGGTTTAAATCACAAGAAAGCGGGTAAGAAAAAACTTCATTATTGATTGAAGATCAAGGTAGCGAAGTCGGTGTAATTTTTGTTTACCATATCTACATAGGTCTCTATCTAATGAGTTGGAGCTATGAGATGGGTGAGGCCCATACTTTATAATCAGACAGGGCCAGAGCAGGGTAGACCCAATCTCAACCCGATAAGAAAAGATCATTGACAAACATGGGCCTACCTGCATTCAATAATCGATGTGAATAAAATTAATCTTGATAAGAAACAGTCAGTGAAGACTTAGGCATACTCACTTACTCAGGCCGTCGGACTTTGATTGGTTTACGCCATATTTCAAACACCTGGGGTGATGAGTCACATCATATCCATATGTGAGAGTTACGCCATTGAGAGTTTGCATTTTGATGGAGAACTCTGATATTTTTCCCAAAGGGGATGTGAAGGATGTCTAAACGTTATTGTTGAAAGAGGGGGTAAGGTGATGTTTGGGATCGATGCCGATTTTTTGAAAATTACTGTCATGCTGGAGTCACGTTAGTGTTATGGGGATCAGCGTTGCACTTTCTGTTTGGTTGATCGATTTTAGTGACTTTCAAGAAATCAACCAAAAATTAATTCTTGAAATTAACCTTTTTCAGGGATCATCTTTTTTGATGATTTCTTAATTTTTATCTTATTTTGAATTTTTAGGATGATCTAGAATCTAACATGACATTAAATATAATATCGGTTCAGTTCAGCGTTAGAATTCTTATGTCTAAAGTACAATTAAGATAGGTGTTAGCTCAGAATTGATGCCAATTCAAAGTCCGGTGTTGATGTATAAGAAAAGGGGTATTTAACATTTTAAACTTTTATAGATCTACAGCAGAAGTCAGAATTCTGCAGTGAGCTACAAGAATTACTTTTTCAAAAAATAATTGGGCATTGAGAATCAGTACCAAATAGATTCAAATAATAATCAGCCATCGCATTAGCATTGATAGCAGCCTCGTGATTCTCCAAGAAGTAAAAATTCTGCAGTGAGCTACAAGAAGTACTTTTTCAAAATGGCATAGTGTGGATTATTGCCATTTTGAATATTTATAGTTATCTGCAATTGAAATAAAAAATTTGCATTGGACCTGTCTATACTTTTCTGAATTTGTTTACAGTTAGAGCACTTGAGCCTCAACTAGTGACTTCTGCTTTGATTGCATGGAATCCATCATCTATACGGCTGAACATTGGATATCTAGGATTCTGACCAAATGAAAGATCCTAATCAGACGGATTGTAGCCTTCTTCACATGCTGCAATCTTTCGTATATTCCCATTGACTAATTGACCTTTCTGTACTTCACGCCTTACTTTGACTTTGAATTCTCAAGTCTTACTGGAAACGTGGCAGCAGCTGATTGGCTGGATCTTAAACTCTTCTACCAAAGCCGGCTGCTGCTCCTCAACTGCTTGCCTGCTTTTGGTCGTATCTTGTTGGTCTGGTCTTCCACACGAAATCCAGCCCATCCCCACTTCCTTTCAACTTCAGACTTCAATTCTTCCGATATGAAAAGAATGAACAAATTCCTCTTCTCTGGACCAATCATCATCTTCTTATCCTTTCTCTTCTACTTCTTCGCTATCCCTGAGACCCGAAAGAAATTGTAGAGCGGCTGCGTTGGAGAACCAGAAACGAGAAGCGATGGCATTTGACGCGAATCGGATGAACCCACAATCTGCCGCAGAGAAGGCGGTTTCTGTCATCGGTTATGGTTATGATCTGTGTTGCGACCTACGCCTCTCCAGCTGCAAGCCTGGCCCCTCTGGTTCGCGTCTAATCGAACTCGACCAATCTCTAGCACGCGACCTTATATTGCCAGGTGGCATCGTTGTGCCCAATGTTCCCAAATCAATCAGATGCGACAAGGGAGAGCGAACGCGGTTCCGGTCCGATGTTCTTTCCTTTCATCAGGTGATTTTTTTTCTTATAATATTGACTTGATCAGATTCAGATATCGCTGTGAAACATTTGAATCTTCTGTCTTCCTGATTCACCTATCCAAGTTTCTTATAGCCCTTTATGAAAGGGAGAAGACTAGCGGTTCCCGTACTAACCGTGTAAATGTGACTTTGACAGTGATGTGCATACATCATGATTTTTTATTAATAATGCTAAGAAATTGTCTATGATCGAAGAGCACGCGGTCAGTGTATATGCAGTATGTTTGTGGGTTCGTAGAATCTCAACTTATTGACATGGAAGATGGTTGGAATTCAAGAAAACAGAGAGTTTTTCAAATGTTATTCTCACAGTACAAATTACTAGGCATCAACTAGAGTGTTTCAGACAAATATTGAATGAGGTTCTAATAATTCTTTTATACGCCTGTAATGTATTGAAAACATACTGAAAAAGAAGCAATTGAAGGTATTGTGTACATGCCAATTCAAGCTGTGAGGCAAACAAAAAGAGAAGAGTAAATGGGTAATCCAGTTCCAGTCCATTCAAGCTTCGAATTTAGGCTTTCTTATTGGATTTAGTCCAAAATCAAATTACCCTTAAAATTAACAGCTTACCTCTTCATGCTAATAACCAATGCAACTATGCCAAAGATAAACTTGTAGACTTTTGCACCTTACATTTTCATATTTTTCTACAGCTTGTAAACAAATTTTCTCTATCATTCCATAATCCATAGGTAATACAATTTGTCCTCCCAGATATATGCCTTGGTATACTTGTATTTTCCATTAGCTTCCCCAGTTCTCTATATGCGGCAGTCAACCTAACCATATACTTCATCATATGCTTATAGCTGTCCTCACTACCAGCAGCTTCTTTTGATATTCCTTTTGCTCCTTCCTTTTTTTTTTTCTCTGCCCATTTTTATCTGTTTCCAGTGTCTTGTTTTTCTCCTCGTGGTACAAATGCTCTCCATTACATGACTCTCTCAGCTTAAAACTCATTGTCATAATACTAGCATTTATCTTTTTTCTTGCTTTGTCAGATACCGAGGATTTGTTAGTCAAAAGGAATTTATTGTCTTTGGAATGATAATGTTTTTTGAACTATATTCTATTTTCATCTTTGTACTACTTTTTTTATGTGCTTGCTTATTCCTGTTTTTTTAATTCTTTTTTACATTTGACATGGAGGTTTATATTTGTGAACAATGTGGTTGGAAATGATGTGCTCACTAACGTGTAGGGAACTGTTTCTCAGAGAATTTTCTTCTCATTCTCATTTCTGTTTTATTTGTTCCAGATGTCAGAACAGTTAAACCAGGAACTCTCTTTATCTGGTAAAATACCCTCTGGCCTGTTCAATGCAATGTTTAAATTCCAAGGCTGTTGGCACAAGGATGCAGCTTCAACAAAGAATCTTGCTTTTGATGGATGGTTCATTACACTATACAATATTGAGTTAGTAAGATCTCAGATAGTACTTTGCGAACATGTGAAACAAGAAGTTCCTTCTTCATGGGATCCTACTGCTCTTGCTGGGTAATATTTCCCAACAATAAGATTGTATTATATGCTTCCCTCTATCTGTTTTCCATCCAAGTCTTTTTTATGTACTCATACATTAAAAGGAAATAGATTCATTGTTTACATCATGTAGCTGAAATAAGAATATAAATCCAGGAATTCTCCAGAAGTAAATATACACATCTATGCCCAAATTGACATTTCTTTGACAGAAGGCTCTTGTTGTATGGTCAGTATGGATAGTTGTTTGTATGGTTTTATACAGATTACTTGTACTTCATATTACCTGATCAACATAACTTTTTTCTATTTGCACCTTATAAATTAAAAACAAAAGGAATGTTCTTTTCCATGTACTTTGCATAGGTTATGGAAAAATAAAGGGAGTTTTTTTTTTTTTTTTGAAAAGGAGATAACTGATTGTATTAATAAGAAGAAAGGTACATGAGGAGATGTACATACTACAGCTAAACCAGCAAAAAGAAATTACAGAGGCAGATTTCTTTCACTGTACAGAATTTCCCTAAAGGTACCCAATTTAGCTAAACCATCAGCTGTACTATTTAATTCTCTGAGAATCCAGATTATGTTTACAGTCATGATGTTCAAAATGTCTTTGGCCTTGGCCAAGTAATGAGCTAGTTTCCAAGGGCCTCCCTCCTTCTCCCAGGCCCTTTTCTTTAGCAATTCAAGGACTTGTGAATGCAGCCAGGATTTCTGCTTTTGAAGAATCAGCCACCCCGATTGGGCCACTGTCAGCACCTGATTTTTGCTCAATCCTCCGTCCGAACCCCCAACTCATGCCCGAACACCCAACCAGGCTGTTCCGATCTCTTCGAGACCCAAAGAACCCAAACCCTAGGCCCTAAAAACTTAAAATCCACCGTTAATCTCACCTGATACCCCTAAAGCCTCAAAATACTCCTCTTGTCAAATTATCAAAATTCCCTCCATTCTAAATTCCCAAGATACTCCTTGACCAAATTACCAAAATACCCTTCTTCCAAGTTACCCTTAGCACCCCCCTCATTCCAATTTTCACAACACCCTTTATCCCCCAAATTCCCTAAAATATCCATTTACAAAATTACCAAAATACCTTTCAAAGCTAAATTTACCAAAATATCCTTCAAAGCTAAATTTACCAAAATGCCCTTCATTCCTCAAATTACCTAATTATCCCTCTAAAACTACCCCTTCAAGCCCCAAATTACCAAATTGTCCTTTGGACCCAAATCATTGAACTGCCCTTCTCATTCCAAATTATGAAATTACCCTTTATCAAACCCTCTAATCCCTTTAAATCATGACTTACCAAAACCCCCCTTCCACTTTGAGAATGACAGAACCTCTCCTTCATTATAAATAGAGTCTCCATTCCCAAGAAAAGAGGGATGTCAAAGTGGAGTGGAATATGTGAGGAGCCCCCTGTATTGAATCGGTGAGAGGGGTCTTGAAAGGCCCAAAGAGAGTACAGAGAGGGGAGTTTTGATTTGAAGAGGAGAGAGAGGGGTTCTCTCGGGTAGGGGAAAGGTTTCTGTGGAGAGCGAACAAAGAGAGAGTGGCAGAGAGAGTTCTTGAGGGAGAGACCAAGGGAGGAAAGAAAGAGAGAGAGAATGAAGAGAAGATAGAGGATATTTCGGGCTAAGTGAAGAAGAGGAAGAGAGACTGAGGGAGAAGGGTAGTCTGTAGAGGGGTTTTTCGAGCCAAAAGAAGAGGGAAAAAGCGATTTCAGAGGGGAATTGAGCAGAGACTGACAAGAAGAGCCATCACTCCTAGTCATCGATGTACAAAGAATGCCTACACATAGTTGTCAAGGCAACGCCTAGGCGATGCCTAGGCAACAAGGCACCCTTTGAGGCTCGCCTCGCCTAATCGCCAAGCACTTATTTACTCTCTACTATAAAATACTAGTAGTTGCTCAAGATTGAACAAACACTTAAAAAGGAGAAGGAAAAAATAAGAAAAGAGAGAGAGAGAGAGAGAGAGAGAGAGATTTTGATAAAAGAGAGTTGGGTTGATGTGTTTAAACAGCCGCCCTAAATTGCTTACATGGCAAGATAAGATAAAGCTGAAAAAAGACTAATCCTAATCTTATAAAAGACTAGTCCTAATCTTATCATAAAGAACTAATCCTAATCATAACTTATTGCTGACATACGAACAATGGGGACCACCTTAGTGGGGTCCACATTAGTGTTCTCTACAATACTTTATTGTTCATTCTTTTTTGAGATCATAATTATAAAATAGACATTATTAAACTAAAATAATCATTTTGTTAGTTTATATTCTAATTTCTTTTTATTATTTTCTTATTTATTAGGGTTTAATCAACACAAACATTGCTAAATGCTGTATTGAACCCTCAAAGACTTCAAAATCTGAACCAATAAGTAAGGAAGAACTTAAAATTTTATGTAATCAGCACATTTTCTTCTTCCATATATTCTTCTTCTTCTACTACTACTACTACTACCAATACTTTTTCTTTTCTTCTTTTCCTATAACAAAAATAAGGGTTCAGCCCCTGTATTTTTTGAGTTTTATTTTCCTTCTTTTTCTTCTCATAAATATGTTGATTTTCTATACTTTGATATGAACTTTATACTTTCTTTTGAAAATTATGAATAATTATTAAGGAAATATGGTTATGGTACCTAGGGAACTACCCTAGGATCTATGTTTTTAACATAAAAAAATCCATCGCCTAGGCGACAAGGCACCCCCCTGTTGCCTAGCCTCGCCTTGGTGCCTTGAAAACTATGTGCCTACAACACTAATCGATAGTCTTCCTTGCTATTGTGAATTTCATCAGTGGGTTCAACCAAATATTCTCACTCCAAAACCTTATTCCATAGCCAAATACTCTCTGAAAGATTTTGCAGCAACATCACCCCATCAACGGGAAGGTACATAGAGGTAACTTCTTACCTCGCAATTGTATTAGGTTCATAGGCCGATTTCTGTAGGCATTTTAATCTTTAGTTTTAGAAAGTTTTTATCATATTTGTCTTTCTTCTTTTTATATTCTTTTGCTGTGTTCTTGTGAGTTTCGGGGCACCTGCGTTCTCTTCTGCTTTTAGGGGTGACGATTTCGCTCTCTTAATTCCTCTGGCTAGATAGCTGAGTCCGAAGGTGGGGGTTCTGATAGAAAAGGGGTGGGAGGTATTATCTAACCCTTTTGCTCAGGTCCCTACATCCAAAAGGGATCTGGCCTAGAGGAAGAGAGAGAGAGGATTTCACAGTCACCACCCATCTTCAAGTCGTTGGGGAATGCAGGCTCTCAATCTCCAAGAGTTTTCATTGTTTTAAAAATCAGAGAGGATTTCACAGTCACCACCCATCTTCATTTACACTGACCGGAAAGAGGGGTGCCTAACCCCTTCCTTCTCTCTTTCTTTCAACTTGCCTAGACTATCCTTGTTTAGGCCGAGAAGTGCGGAGTCACTAGCATTTGATTAATTTTGAAAAATGCAATTCCGGGAGGCCCATCACTCCCAGTTATCTATTCTGATGGGTGGCGACTCCATCTACTCAGCCATGAAGTGAATAGACGGGTTTTTCCAACGTTCACAACCACTAAATGCCCACATAATGCTTTCCTCCCTTCCTCTAAAAACTCCACCAATCCCAGCAGCTCTAGGGTTTCCCAAAGCACTGCCATCAAAATTTAAAGTTAGCTTGATACCAACCTTGCAGGAATAGCAATTGACCTGCTAGACCTAGAAGGTCCTAGTGAGGAGAACAGGATTTTCCCCAAATTTCTTTGCAAATCATTCAAAGATAAGCCATTGAACTCTGTAGATATAGAGGCCCATTGATTGCCCAAGAAAGTAATGTGGGAGAGTAAAGGCGATTGCTTCTTTCTGGTTTTCTTTTCAAAGATAAGCCATTCAAAGATAAGGATCTGGTTTTCTTTTCAAAGAGGCGATTGCTTCTTTCTTCCCAAACACACCATAACACTGCTTGGGCAATTGTGCACCAATAAATTTTCCCCCTGCTTCCAGGACCACTATGCCTCCATTGCCATATGAAATCAATTAAACTTCTAGGAAAGACCCAGATTTACCCTACCAGATTAAGGAAGTAAAACTAGAATTTCCTTGTTTCTGGGCAGTGAAGAAAAAGGTGATCAGTGGATTCACCTTCTTTCAGATGTAAAGGACAAGCATGGGGGAGATAAACAATTGCCTTTATTCTTCTTCTAAACCAAGTCGTAAGTGTTGATTTTGTGAAGGCAGGCCTCCCAAACAGGGGGAATATTGGAGCACCAAACCCTCTTGTGGTGAAAATTAGAGTTGGAGGATTCCATAACCAAGGCTCTAAAGAAGGACTTAGTTGAGAATCTGCCATCAGGTTGAAGTTTCCAAATGCGTTGGTCTGGGTTTGTTGAGGAAATGTAAACCTCACTTGGAGAACTTAAAAGGTTTGCTATCTCATCAATCTCTAAGTTTCTTAAAGGTTCCAGTTAAAACCAGAGGGTGAGGGTTGAATACAGGAATTAACAGTGGAAAAGCGTTTGCCAAGGTAT